ATAAAGAGCTGGCTGCTTTGTCCGACGAGGCATCTATTTTTAGCGTATGGTCATTCTGGGTTTGGGTTCCCGCAATTCAACTCTTTATTAACAATAACTATGCATTATTATTACCAATATTAGAATACTGAGTTTTTACAGTTCCCCTAGTCAACTAAGTAATTTTTTTCTATTAATTTTGCTTTTATTCATAGCTTACTTTTTTATTTAAATATGTAACTATTACCTTAATTTAATGAGCTCCATTAATGTGAATAATAGTACGGCGATTTGTTTTTTTGTTTTTTCAAGTCGAATTAGTTCCACCTTTCCGTTAAAATTACTATTTAATACAAACACATTTTTTTATTCATTTCAATTACAACATATTTTTAATTATTCAATTTTATAGAGATGTCTAAGTGCAAACGGCAAGTTATTATTCACAATAGCAAAATTAAAACAATAGATTGGTTTATTCCACTCAATGATGTAGTTCAGATTCTGACTTAGACATCTCTCTCAGAAACATATTTTGAAAGATTTATCTAACTCAAAATTAAAATAAGGTTTTAGATAACTTTAAAAAAACTGAGCCCAAGCTGCTACGTTAAATGTGATCGTTGAAATTATCTGACACAGCAAGTAAAAATTAAGAGGCAAACTATTTCGTTTTTAATCAAATAGAGCTATAAGCCTAACAAACAACACTGATGCGATCTTTTAAATATTTAAAAAATAGAATCATCTAAATGCAGAGCTATAAGCGATACGCAGAGATCTCGCCGCACTTAGCTATACTCAATACTCATCTACAGTTTAATCTAAAACAATAGCTAAAGCCTAACCGATGAGAAAATTCCATTTTTTAATAGCTGCTCTCTCAAATGATCTAATAGAGAATTTCAAACGAATTTTAGAATGGAGAACCAGCGTTGAAACTTCCAGACTCTGTCTTAGTTTCAGAAAGATATAATAAACGGTTGTGGAGTTTAATAATAGAGGAACATACAATCACAAGAACTCTTCATTTTATACTAATTCATGCAAGCACATTTGGTTAATATGTTAATTGTAGCGAAATGAATGATTAAATATTTTTGAAAAACTGCAACAAAAAATATTTGAAATGTAAAAACAAAAAGATGAAAAAAATTGTTTTACAAGTGTTGTCCTCAAAACTCTCTCCAAAATGACGTGCTCAGTAGATCATCCAATTCAGTAAAAGAAAAGGGAAGTTAAAACTGGGAAAACAAAAATTTTCATAAAGTAAATCAAGAAAAAATTATGATAATTTTATGGAAAATAAATAAAAAGTATCTAATAAACAAAATCTAACGGTTCGATTTAATCCTTCCTTTAGTAAAAAACCCATTTTTGGGGTAGGTATATGTATTATGAAGTAATTACATGCACCTTAACATTTAACGCAACTTATCTACTCATCATTTTTAGTTGTGGTACTGTATTCTTCTCAACATATATTTATAGAATTCCAAACTTATAGGTCCAGCAGTGGACTGATAGTAATGACACTGTTCACAGTAGAATACCTGAATCAAGCATCACTGACTGCAGTCAGTAAGCGGGTGGGTGACCACTTTGATCAACCTGCGTAGGGACTGAGGGTAAGAGGTATCGGTCCTCGTTAAACTATTCTACCTTAAATTGCTCGACTTCGCACGCAGGTCGTTGGGCTGCCAAAGTAGGGGAGCCCTCCCCATCAAATTTGCGACGGCATATCCTCGGATTATCCTCAAAGATGTTTCCATACCGCCGCCAATAGTCCATTGTGCAGCTCTAGTTCTACTTAAATAAAGTACCTAAATTCGTAGATAATAAAACAGGTAGTGATAAAAAGACTCCTTTGAAAATTGTACCGGTTATACAGGAAATATTTTCGAAACTAAACGCTGTCACAATTGGCCCTCTGCCCACCACTTCAAGCGAAAAGAAATACTTAATCACTGTCCTTGTATGTCGTCAAAATACTTAGAGGCTATCTCAGAAAATGATATAGGATCTGCGTCGGTGACTGATGTCTTTTGTACAAATTTTTTGTACAAGTGGTTTCCTAGAAAAGTCCAGTTTGATCTTGGAAGGTTCGACATAGTTCTGTTCATCACTCACAGTCTAATCCTGCAGACGTACATTTGCCCGGTATACCCTACACTTATTTTTTTAAGGCCAAAGGCCACTGCTTGGTATACATAGAACTGGTATACCCTACGCTGATCTTTTTTTTAAGTTAGGGGCCTTAGGAAACAAAACAGATATAAAATAATTAAAAAGAATCTAAATCATCTAGTACAAAGTATCCGCTCAATAAATGAATAACGAAAAAAAGGGCACCTGCATCCAATGTAAAGGAGCACTTGGCATTGTCAAGTTGTCTGCGAGGGGCAATTACCATTACGCATGCGTATTTCATTTTATAACCGTCGTTGAACATTCGACCCAATTTTTTTTATTTACGACTACTAATGCTCAACTCCGACCCCTGGTAATTTTGAACCCAGTCCACAAGAAAAGGGAACTCCTGGATCAAGCGGTTGGAGAAATTTGCCTTCGTTAAGGACTTTTTGATGGAACTAACCCGCATTTGCGTTACATGGAGATGAAGACCACAAAAACCTCCCACAGTTAGCCTGACGGATTTGGAAATTTAATCGACATGCCTTTCCTGTGATTCGAACCCGTTTCTCTTCATTAGAAGGCTCCCCTGATCCACCACGGTTCGCTCACATGCGTATTTTATTTTATTTTATTTTATGACCGCCGTTGAACAGCCGACCCAATTTTTGGGTTTACGACTACTAATGTTCAACTCTGTAGCCTTGTAATTTTGAGCCAATCCAGAAGACAAGGAAACTCCTGGATCGGTACCCCCCGAGGTATTGATTTGTTATGGGAACATGGAGGACTTTGAGACTCGACAGATTTAACGTGCATCATTCACCATTTACTACACGGGTCACATGCGTATTGGAAATCTGTAAACAAATTCCTTGAAAATTATTACATTGACTAAACTTAATTGCTAATAATAAACAGCGATGATTAATATTCAAAGATTAATTGTATTGATTGTAACATCCGCAGATTTTGGAATCCTTGTTAAAAATGAAATATAAAAAGTATACATATAAAGGGGTTGCAAATTAATATTTATATGAAGTAAAATTAAAAATATTTTTGAAGTTTAACGATTTACAACTAGAGAAGAGGGGACTAAAAACATCAAAACATCTCATATTTCTAGATAAAAAAAGTTTGATAACCAGATGAGTAGTGGAATTGTTTCTAATTTTTACATTTTCAATACATTTTAGAGAAATTCAAACGGGTTTAGATTTCTCCAGCTCCGCATTTCACTGTAAATAAATTCCAAATCCTGCAATGAAATTTTAACTAAAATGAACTGGAAGCATTGTGTAAAACTTTGATATTAATTCTTAAATAGTAACCACTTCGTTTAATATTTTGTTTCATAGAGGTAGAAAATATTAAATTCGCGCAATTTGAGAAAATTTTACATTCATTACATTCTATGTAATAAACGTTTGATAACTCGGAATGTTTGTGATTAAACCTCACCTTTATCAGGTGTTTAATTATATGTATAACAGAGGCAAAATTAATGATGGAATATACAATAATATGCTATTATTCTTAAATTATCGTGTCATTTTTCTTAATTAAAATGCAATTATTCGTAATTTTTCGTGTTATTCCGTTTTACATCAATATTAAATTAATATGTAACATCATAATGTATCATTATTTCTACTTTAAATGTCACAAGTTAAATAAAAATAAGAACATTTTATTTGTATTTATTTCTAATTCGCTTCTCTGAGAACTGTCTACATTAGATAACTCTCGGGAACGTACCGTAAAAATTCCCATATTTGGCGATTTAAAAAAACGCGCCGAACAGCAGTTGGTTGTCGAACAGTAATTTCACCGAATGACTCTTCGCACAATGGTGGAATAATAACTACAATAAATCTTAAACATTAAATTATAACATATTTAAGGAAAATAAAAAGAAAACTACTTAATTCGTTAGCTTTTATACCATCAATAAAGTACAAGACCAGCAAAGAAATCAGCTAAAATGGATTATTAAGCATTGCGTAATATGGTAAAATTAATTTTTACAGAATAAACATTTCATTTAACATTTTCTTCAGATATATCTTAGATTTGAGTTAATAAGTTTAGAAATCCTGTACTTTAAATTTAAAATTATAACATGGTTAAAAATCTGTAACAAAATGCGATTTTTGAAATATTTGATTTAATGAAAGCATCTCGATTTATTTCATTATTAAATTTTTCTTCCTTTAGTGGGTGGAATGTTAAATAGCGGTGAGTAGATTTTTTTAATATTTAAAAGATTCCACATTTTGATTTGCTTTTGCTCTTTGAGTTCAACACAACACGGAAGTTTAGCAATATCGTCATTCAACTTAAAACATCAATATTTATAAAAGTCGAAATACAAAATACTAAATAGCCCACAAGTGCAGTTATAATTCCATACTCTAGTCTTATAAGTTCTGAGATTCCCATGTTCTAAGATTACATATCATGCTTTTGATTCATTTTATCATACCTCTGAAATTATCGTACCTCAGGAAATTATAAATCAATGTAATAAGCAAAACTATTTCCTTACTGTTATTAGAAATTCATATTTCAAATTATGAAAATATTATAATCAGGTAACTAGAAATTTCAGTGATAAGTTGAATAAATTCGTAACTAATTCTGGGTTCTCTCTGATGCATTTCATCGCAGCATTTTTCATCATCCTGATTTTCAAAAGCAATCAAAATCTCAAAAATTGCCAGCGAATGAATTTTTAATTTTAAACTTTGTATTCTGCTTAATATACAGTTTTGTTGAATTAAATTTAAACCAGTAAATAATAAGATTTTCATTCAACAAAGTTTAAATCATATTATCAAAAACTATTTTTTTGAATGATAAACGGATAAATTTAAGAGACTTACAGGGAAATCCGAGTTGTTACAACAAGACCAAGTGCAAACAGGACCTCCTATTTTATACAGAGTTTCACCTTCATCAGTCTGTACACTCAAATCAGGAAAGAATAGACTCCATTCTTGTTGAACTATTCCCAACAAGTTGTTTGGAGGAGAATATATTTCCAAACGCTGCAAACAGTTCCAAAATTTTAAAATCTCACTAGGTTACACTTCGCGATGTTTAAGGAAAGTTTTATTAAATATTCCTCAGTTCAGAATTTTTTTAAATCAAATTATGATTCATTGCTAAACAATTGAGAATTTTTCGAAATTTTTTTTAGAATACCGACCAACACAAATAGATTTTCCCTATACTTGCTAAGCAACAGACTAGTTTGTGGGGAAATGTCTGCTAAATGTGGTAGAATCTTCCTTTGGTATCAATTATTTTCAAAATGGTTTTAATTCCCATAAGTGAATTTTACTCTCTTTTTATTATTATTCCATTACACCAATTAGAAAATACTGTTAATAAAGTAATTGCAAGCAACCGTAAAATATATGATACAAATTCTAACATGGGAAACATTTTTACAAGAAAAGTTGAATAATATTTAATAAGATACTTTTTCAGAAACAATAGCTCAACTGTGTAAACAGATCAAAATTTTAAAATCTTACACTCCGCGATATCTAGGAAAACTTTTATCAAAGATTCCACTCTTTAGAATTTGTTTTCATCAAACTACGATTTGATAAAATTTTTAACATTTCCAACTGACACTAACAGGTTTTTCCTGTACTTGCTTAGCAGGAGACTTTCCCCTAAATATTGTAGAATCTTCCTTTGTTATCGATTGTTTTCAAAATAGTTTTAATTTCCATAGGTAAATTATTTGCTCTTTGTTTCATTATTATTCCATTATATCAATAAGAAAATACTAATAATAAAATAATTGCAAGCAACCGCGAAATACATGGTAAAAAATTCTAACATGGGTGTCATTGTTAAAAGAAAAGTTAGATGATGTTTAAAAAGTTATTTTTTCAGAAAAATTAATTCCAACTTGTATGGTACATTAATGATTAAAGTAACATTTGAGAAATAGCTTTTGCAACTTACTCTTAAACATCTCAATGAATACTTAAATATTTTAAAGCATGTTTACAAAATATCTCAACACATACTTATTTGTCCTACAGTGGACTGATCATTTCACGGTTACCAGTAGAGCACCGAAGTCAAGCATCACTGGCTGCGGTCAATGCAAAGAGACCAAGAGAGTACGGTATCAGTCCTTGTTAAACTGTTCAACCGTTAAGTGTTAGACTTCGTGCGCAAGTCATTGGGCTACCGAAGCGAGAGAGCAAGCTTTCCACAGAGGATTAAAAATTTAATGGTATGCCTTCGGATCATCCTCAGGGATGTTTACCAGGCCATCGCCAATGGCCCATTGTGCAGATCTAATGCGACACAAATACACAACCACAGCATACTTCTATTTTAAAAATAATTTATGACAGGTTGCCATTAGTTAAGAATATCATCATTTTTTTTTTAACAAAAACATACATGAAAACAACATTGAGCACATAGGGAGACATGAAAGCTACACTTAAAAACATACTAACTAAAATTATCTCGAATATGGCCAATAATTATTGTGGTTGTTTGGTATTAAAAAATAATCTATAAAACAATTTTATTTGATACTGAGGCATGAAAAAGGTTTCTTGAGAAAAAGAAATGCATCTCATTGTAGTCAAATAAACTGTTTTTTGACCATCTGTTTTTATTTACTGTATTTTATTCCATCTTCAGCTCTTCTATATCTCAAAATTTCTTGGTGAGATTTCGGAAACTTTCTGATTTCAGTTCAAAAGATCCTAGTACGACTAAAGTTTTGGTTCACCGCTATGTTACATATATGAATAATATATGAACAATTTTTAAATTATTATCTCGACGCAGAATTTTTATTAAACATTTTTTCATATTTTTCTCAGTATTTTGAATTAATTTAGGTCAAAATAAGTGAAAAATATTATATTTAGCATTTTAATAACTTATAGTTAAGAAATATATCATGAAATATCAGTGTCTTTTTCTGCGTTAAGGAGCAAAATCATCAAAACAATAAGATTTCAAATTTGCACTTATTTACACTTATTTAGATCTAAGAGATACAGTTTCTTCATCACTGAATTTTTTTTTCAATTTACAAAATCAATTAATAAATTTTTAAAAAATATGAATGGAAAAAAATTTTTTAACCTACTTTTTTATTTTTTATTTTAATTCAAATATAATTCCGATAATCTAATAGATTTTATAGTTAAAAAAATACCATAATATATTTCTGTTTGTAATCAGAGCGTCAAAAAATATATATAAAAGGGACATCAGTATAACATCTTTTAGTGACCGTAACCATAAAAGAAAGTAGAAACTTAAAAATCAAAATATATTTATTGTAATAATAATTTTTACCCAAATAAAATTGTATCAAGTAAAACTAGGTCTCTAGGCATTTTTGTTTTAGAAAAAAATATCGTTGCTTTATTTCAAATTACTTCTACGCGCCATTTCTTTAAAGCAGGATGATCAAAGTCGTATAAGGATGAACAAAGAATGATGATCTAAGTCGTATATAGTTTAATTTAAAACTCATTCTTTTAAAAGATGAAACTTACTCGCCAGTTTTAAACATTTGATCGTCGGTGGCGAGCTGGCGTATGAAACTTTTCACACATTTCATTTTAGTTCAAATATAATTCCGATAATCTAATAGATTTTATAGTTAAAAAAATACCATAATATGTTTCCGTTTGTAATCAGAGCGTCAAAAATATATATAAAAGGCACATCAGTGTCCCATCTTTTAGCGACCGTAACCATAAAAGAGAGTAGAAACTGAAAAATCGAAATATATTTATTGTAATAATAATTTTTACCAAAATAAAATTGTATCAAGTAAAACTAGATCTCTAAGCATTTTTTGTTTCAGAAAAAAATACCGTCGCTTGATTTCAAATTACTTCCACGCGCCATTTCTTTAAAACAGGATGATCAAAGAATGATGATCTTAGTCGTATATAGTTTAATTCACAACTCATTCTTTTAAAAGATGAAACTTACTCGCCAGTTTTAAAATTTGATCGTCGGTGGCGAGCTGGCGTGTGAAATTTTCACATATTAATCACATTCTTTTAATATGCATAGTTTTTTCGAAGAAAACCAATTATATTTTCAACGGTGGTCAATTTGTATTACTATTCAAAAATTAATCAGAAAAAAGTACCTGTAAACAGCATGGAAAACAGCAACCCTGGCAGCGCAGTCCACGATACAGATGAATGACCTCTGTTTGGTATTCATCCACAATTTTTAGGTCAAGAGGCCTCTTTTGGTGACATAGGTTACGAATGCAGCAATTTGAACCTGAAATTAGTATGCGTGAAACTTAAGCTTGCACTTTTTGTCTTAATTATTGATCTAGTAGTGATCGCATAATAACGCACTAAGATCCACTAATAATGAACTCTAGGGCTAACCGTGAGTATGCAATTTTTCTAGTGCAGATGATATATTAAGTTACTATAGCAGACACGAAAACGTACTTTTCTTTTCTTTTAAATTGATTTAGATTCTTGACTCTAATGTAGAAAATATGATCTAATTATTGAAACTCTGAATTTGAATTTCTTTATGTTCAATGCAGTTTTAATGTGCTTCGTCCTACATGTGTAACTACACTCTTGTCAATGTATTAGGGATAATGTGAGCTCTGGCATATAAAGGTTCAGAAACAAAACAAACCTGACTTATTCATTAAGCCTATTTATTAATCAAAAGATAAGGAATAAAAAAAGGTGCTTGTATGATATCATTCATGAAAAATATGATTTTGCTCGATGGGGCAATTAAAAGTAATATTTCCTTTACGAAAACTTAATATTACAAAGTTAATATGATAGTAAATACATTCTATTTCACCATTACGATGAAATACAGTCCGTACAACGCATAGGCAGGCTGAGTATCAAATTATCAAGTTGATCTTAGGGAAGAATACCCTACTCAGCAAGCAATGCTCTTAGAAGTTCCGGTGTACATGTCGAAGGTAGTTGACGAGCTACACTCATTGGCCAAGCATGTCCTATTCATGCTCTAACGGGTTCAAGTCAGGTAAATATACTGGCCATTCCTAATATTTTCAGATTGAAGGCATTCGTTTACGTTGTTTGCTAGAAGAGAACTGGCGTCCACAAACACAAATTCTGCACCCATGACAAACACAAATGGCACCCCTGAGGAATACCGGTACTGGTAATCAAACGTACATGTTGTTTTAGAATAATGCCCGGATATATTTGGACTGTTATGGTTCCGATTTAAACATTCCGCTTCTTTTGGCAACTACTGGTAAATACCAGTCTTCATTTGGCGCTTATAACTAGGGGGGCGACCAGTAACGTAACATCTACTGAGATTTCCATCATCTTAGAATCGCTGTCAAGTCCTAAATAAAACTTTTTGGGCAATTCCAAGTTCCTCAGCTATTTCCACCAGAAAAGGCCAACATTTCAGGGTGCTAATAGTTTTATGACGCAAAAAAAAATCATCAACATGCTTCAATTTGACTTTTTTTCTACCATTCTTCATTTGCCCTCTCTTACAGTCTCGTCATCGTGACATACTATCGGCGTCATCTGGTGGTTTCCTATAACTTGCATATTCTTCTTCAGGATGGGCGTGGTAGTTATACTGGTAAAATTTAAACTTCCCACGTCAAAATGCTTGATGGTTTTCCATTGATGAAACAACATAATCTTGATGGTAATCATCAATAATTCCATCATAAACCATTATATTTTTGATGGTAACCAACATAAGTAACCATCACCCCCAAAGTAGGAATTTCGACTGATTTATGATGGTCCAACATAAGAATAGCAACTTGTTTTGATGATTTGTTCATGTTAATCCGGAAGAAATTTCCTCATCCTTTCCTAGAAATCAAATGGGATGATCATGAACAACCATCATCCCAATATAGGAGTTCGAACTGATTTATGACTGTCCAACATTAAAAAAAATTGTTTTGATGGTATATTCCTGAGAACCAACAAGAATTCCCACTAAGCCATCATGGAAATGTATAGTTGGAACCATCATGGATTGTTGGTTCATGAGAATCAAACTTCTATTGTTAGTTAACCATTATAGCATTAAAGTATCATTTTCAATCATCGAATTATGGAAGTTTGTTGCCATATCAAAATCCATGAACGCATAATGGAAAATGTTGGATGATGGTGACCATCAAATGATGTTGGGCAATCGTGAATCGCACTAAAACCAATATAAAACCATCAAAATGTTTTGAACGGACAATCAAGAATTTTGACTTCGATAGCGAGTTCAATTTTCGTGCGATTCTGATTTATTCTTTATTTATGAACATGTGTGCATTTAAGCGAATCAAAAAAAAAAATTAGCACGCAATATTGTAAAATTCATTTATTTAAAAATAATTTAAAGGACAATATAGTTTTATAATATTATTTATTTTATTATTTAACGACGATTAAAAAAAATTTAGAATTGTAAATATACACAAAATGCAACCTCAACCATTGGGGATACCTCTATCCATATTTTGAAGATCGAAAATCTCATCTGAATCTGTTAAAAGCAAGGTACATTTTACGCAAGGAAAGTACGTTCCTATGTGTGACTTCGTAACTAGAATCATCCTCTACTTCAGAAAAAATAAATCTAGAAGATTAGATAAATCTAGAATAAGATTTATGCTTATCTTCTAATACTATAAAGATTGGGTCTTGTTTGATACTGCGATATCTAGATCAAACTTCATTTCGGTGTTCTGTATTTTATTTCGCATTATTACTCTGTTTCTTCTATTCATATTTTTCAATTTGCCTTTGCAGAGTTGGAACTTATTTTGTACTCATGTAACAAACATGCTTAGCCGTATTTATTTGCTTTTAGGATTAAAAAAACTGAACGGAAATGTATGAAATAAAGTTCATGAATAAACATACAGGGTGATCAGAAAAGAATTTGTGCCAGAAGTAAAATACAACGAAAAATGGGTCAATAAATAATGTGTTTATCTTATTTAGGGAAAAAAAGACATATATTCTAAGTTTACGGAAACGCAAATTCAATTTGTCTGTCATTAA